ATTATTTTATCGCCAGCATTGGACCACTTAAGTCAATATAATGGTCAGGTTCTTTTTAAATTCTGTCTCTTCTTCTTGTCCGCCCAATACTTCTTAAAAGCTACTGGACGTCCTGCTTGTGACAAGGTTGAGCCGATTGCAAACTCAGATGCATCGGTCTCAACTGTAAATTGTATGTCATTTTGGATTGGGGCTTTAGTTGCAGTTACTATTCCATTTACCAATTCATTGAAGGAGTTAATTGCTTCTTCTGATAATGGAAAACTTTTAGTCGATGAAAGGGGCTGAATCTTCTCTGAAAAACTCTTGATAAAGTCAGAATAATGAGCGAACATGCCCATGGTTCGACACAATGATTGGACATCATGAGGAAGTGGTAGTTTCAAGAGCGGCTGAAGACGGTCTGGATCACGACGGATTTCGTTCTTTGTTATTACATATCCTAACAGATGGATTTTGTCTTGTGCAAAAGAGCATTTTTCCATGTTCAGCGTTAAGTTGTACTTCTTGGTTGCATTAAAAAAACTTGTTCAAATTTTTATCATGTTCATCTTGTTCATCTATCTTTAGGTCAATTTATAATGAGTTTTATTTTCACTTCAATTTAATAAACTGAAGTCAAGTAAGATTTGTAACATACAAATACAAAATGTAAATAGTAAACAAAGAACAACTGTGAGACAATAAAGAAATTCATGAATTGCATAAGGAATAATAACAGTTCATATGTATAAAAATATTATCACACAGCCTACACAAGATTTAAAATTAAAACCAAAATGGTGGTAACCACTACTTACCAGATTTAAAAGTCACTACTCAAACGTTTCTATTAAGGCCATAAAGATGAATTTTGTTTCTAAAAGCGTTGGCGGATGTGTAACTATTACAGGCAACAGATGTAAAGATTAAAATGTTTCTATTTTGTGTCCTCTTCCCGTTGCAAATCACGGGTACAACACCTAGTAATGAATAAATGTGATATTTTTAAGGTGGCATTTTAGTGTAAATCCAATCAGGCAAATGGAAATTCGCTTAGTCCGCAGGTTTACTGCGGCGGGGGTATTTTTAATTGTTCATTATATTTCCATTTTTAATTAAATGGTGTATTCAGTGAGGTGTGGTCAATGAGATTTACTTGGAGGGTCAGCCTAGCGATTGTCTGTTTCACTGTTAATGTTTTTTCTGATTAACGTCCGCACGAGTGAGTACTACGACTATCCGCAGTACTATCCCGATAATTATACCAATTCGTATATACCAAGGAAAAATGTGGTTCGGATTCAACTATAAACTGTAGGTCCCTTAGTTGCCATTAGCTGTATGGGCTATTAATTAACAGCTGTGTCTAAGGAATGTCGGCCTTAGTCACTAACAAGACTACAAGATCGTGCCACTCAACTCCATTCATACTTGGCTTAAAATACCTACTATCATAGATAAATCATACTCCCTTAAGCGGCCCACACACTAGCGCGCATGTGCCTTCCGTAGCTCGTGATGAGGTGACTACGAGCGGCTCTAGGCACATGTGCGATTCAAATGGTAACCACACACTACAGACACATGCGCGCGCACCACCGTCTTTGACGATGATAATAGTGGGCTATAACAGCAAATCCAACAGTTATATTGAAACCATTCTAATAAACTCAATTGTATCTTCACCATGTTATTTTTTACTATTTATTTTGTAGTTTGAAGTTTATTTAGTATTTTTTTAACAGGGACATTTTTTTAAAATTGCAAGCAAAACTGGACTAAATTAGACTTTAGAGTATGAGGGCTATAGACTTAGATTTAATTAGTTTAATTAGTTCTAATTAATTGGTTCACATCGTTATGAAGCTCTCAAAGAGTTAATTTTAGTCTTCACAAACTAAATCGTCAGTGTCAGGAAACACTCCTTTGCATTTTGTTATCAATAGCTACTTAATTTCTTTTCTCATTTATTTGTTTGAATAGTTAACACTTTTCACGTCCCAATAACTGTAAAGCTCAATAAACTCAGACCAAAACTTTCTTAAGTCATTAAAGGACATCTTAACCGCACAACAAAGAAGTCCATAACCAAACAAGGGCAAATAAAATACAACACTTGGGGCAGTGAATGTTACACGGTGCCACGCAGGCGCAGACCTTATATTTCCCGATTTACAGTATATATACAGTATGGTTTTTACTGCTAGTTCGTGAACATGTGCCTCGGTTTCCCACAGACTGGCGCGCATCGTAACAAGCTCGCGCACTTGTGACGATGCTCGAAGGTCCGGCGGCAGGCACCAGGCACCTCGCATGCGCGTCGTGAGCATGGGCACATTTACCCACACATTGAGGCGCATGTGCGTCGAGCTGTTCGCGGGTCACATGTGCGCGCACAAGCGCCCCAGTGTGTGGGCCGCTTTAGTAGATTTGTCATCCTTATGGAACAGCTGAAGCCAATTTTATTGTTTGTTCTGTACGTCCAACTGTAGAGGTTATGTTTTGTTTACAATTTGTTTCTTGTTATTTCAGTCATTTAAAACCCCATTTAATCATATAAAACAATTTAATCATAAAGAATAACTGGTCCCCTAGTTATATAACCAAATAGTAAAGCACAAATCATGAAAATAACGCTAAAATAATAGAAACAAAATGTGGTCTACCCCAGCGATTAGTGTGGACGTACATGAACTAGACATGAAAAACAAGCTTCAAAATTTACAATGGGATGAGGAGTCTACTTGTGTTGCTTAGTCTATGCTACTATGTATGGTCGCCATTTCATTGAACAGTATTAACAGTATTTCTAACCTCTGGTCAGTTAGTCAGCCTCAACTTGGGTTGGGACAGGGTATAATCTTTCATCCATATGAAACAAATTCCTTTTTTAAAAAAAAAAGAGGTTGGCGGCCTCTTTTAACCTTGCATTTGCTCGTCCACATAGACTAAGCGCCCGTGCATGGATCGTTTCTATAGTATTTTACATATGTACCCTTTAAGTTATTAATTTATTGAATAACTAACATGTTTCGGCTCTTAGGCCATGATCACAGTTATGAACAAATAGTAAATAAATAGAAATGTAAATAATAAATAAGTAAACTATCATATGATTTTGGAATTTTGTCTAGTACACAGGTTGGCTCAGGTGTTGTTTTCTTTTGATTTATTATATAAGATTTTTTCATATATTAGGTTTTCTTTTTGAATTTGCATTGCATTACGTATGTTTTCAGGATCTTTTTTATGGTTTCTATATATATGGAATTCTTCTTTAATGAATAATTTGTCTTTGTTTGGTTCAAATTAATTTACTGATAAATTATTTTCTATGTTTTGATATTTATGATTAGTTTTTAGTAAGTGTTCTGTGTAGTTTGATTTCATACTTGTTGCATTTTAAGATTTAAATGCCTGTATATGTTCTTGGAATCTACATTTGAAGCTTTGTTAAATTTTGATGATTCTTCAGTTATTTGTTTGGACACTTTTGAATTTATAATCTTAAAGACGTTTTTTGTTCTATATGTTGCTTTGTAATTTGTTTTAGATAAGGTTTTCCTATTGCTTTATTTAATTTAGAGTTTTGAGGGAGACATATGTATTCTTTTTCAATTTCTCTTCTTTTTTTTCTTTTGTTTCTTAATTTTGTTCTTTATCATACTATCAATAAGATTGTCCTTATATCCATTTTCGGCTGCAATATATTTTATTATCTTCTTTTCTTTTTCAAAATTTGTTTTGTTTAGGGGCAATGCTATTAGTCTGTAAATCATGGAGTGAAATGCTGCCATTTTTTGTTGCCAAGGCTGGTATGATGATTTTGGTATTATTAATTTAGAAGTGGTTGTTTTTCTAAAAATATCAAATGAGACTTTTTTTGTCGATTTTTGAGATTGTTAAGTCCGATTTTTTCTTGTCGGGCATCTTTGGTAAACTTGATATTTTTAGATATAGAATTTATGTATGTTAGAAGTGTGTCACTCTCAGTTTCGGATCCTTAAAATAAGCAAATATATATATATATTAGGGATGGTCAAGTCTCGAAATTTCGGGAAATTTTCGGGAAATTTTCAATCTCGTTACACGAGACGAGATTACTTTTTGGCCGAGATTTTTATCGAGACGAGAATAAAAAAAAAAAAAAAAAAAAAAAAAATTAAAAACGCCTGCAGAAAGTCAATGCAATACCCGCAATACAGGAGCGTGTTGTAGTTGCGTTTCCTTTTCGAAGGCGTTCTTATTTAATTAATTCTTTTAATGTAAATATTACTTTCATTATTTTTATAATATTACTTTAATAACATTTGAGAAGTTTTGTTAAGTGTAAGCAGTGTGAGGAATGTTTTATTACTATAAAAAAAGTCAAAACAAGTAACTATTTTATAAAAATTAATATTGCTTTTATTTTATGATTTATTTTATTTTAGGATAAGTTGAACTCTATCCTAACTGATATCACCATGTTTCCTAATCGTAGGCATTTTTAATAAGTTAGGCGTGATTAATAAAAAAATGTTATGCTGATGTTATTTAATGAAAGATTGTAAATATTCTTGCCTATTATCATTATTTTAGTATTTAAACAGTCATCTGACAATGTTACAAAATCAGGTAAAAATTTTGAACGTGCATTTCCCGTTGTGTATGAGAAGAGAAATCTCGTCTCGATCTCGTCTCAAAATTTTATGAGAAATAAAAAATCTCGTCTCGTCTCGTCTCGAACTAAAAATCCAATCTCGTCCATCCCTAATATATATATATATATATATATATATATATATATATATATATGTGTGTGTGTGTGTGTGTGTATTTTCTGTCTTGTAAATGTCTTGTCTAGTATAAGTGAAAGTATGTTGAAGAGGGAGTATTAGAATATTTATTTTAATATAGGCTAACTGCATAGATTATCTTTAAATCCCTAGTTTGGATTAAACATAAACTCAAAGTATGGCAATTTAGATAAGCAATGTTCTATTCTAATCAATAAATGCAAAAGAAAAGTAGCTGACCTTTCTCAGGAGATTGTTTTAACGTTTCTTGTAGTTGTGATTCATTATGTATTCCTTCAGTCTGCAACCAGAAATAATTTTTTTATATTTTTAGAAACAAATAAGTACTGTATTCTAATGGATATAATTGAATTATTCAGGGTGTCTAGTTTATTTCCATTTCAAAATTCAAGACTAATTTCAGACTTTTCAAGACTAGTTTTTTCAACAATTAGTGATGTGTCAATACCTATATTTATTGATTCTCAACACTGACTGATATCTGGAAAATCAATTCTCAATTCTTGATAACGATACAATTTTTTTTTTTTTACTTTTACCAAATTTTCTAAATTGTTTTGTTTTACTACACCAACACCAATACAAATGCGGTAAAGTATTTTTTAAGATAATGGGGTGTTTTTCAAGTAAATAAAAAAATTAATAAAGCAATGAAAAATTCTAACTAGCCAAATTGGGTTTAAACCCTTCTTAAAACATTAAATGAATATCAGTGGTAAATGGAAGTCTTAGGTCAAAAAGACAATTTTAATTTAACTAGAGGTGTACCAACCTGATATTTGCAGCCATGCCAAACTAGAGGTAATAGCGTGATCATCTGCGGCGATTGAGACATCATTGATTGATTGATTGATTGATTCGCCAGAATCGCCTCATCGTCCCCGGCAGTCACATAAACGTTACCAACGACTCCCACGATCGCGGCAAAATTCTGATTATCTCCCTTGGTCGTGTAGACATTGTCCTCCCACGGTCACAAAAAGTCATAGTCAACTTGCGAGATCGTGGAAAATTAATTAAAAATTTTCACCATGTAGACATTATTGTCGTCTTCTGCAATAGTGACAAAATTCTTACTTTGAATGTCATTGTTGTCTTGCGCGATCCTGGCACTTTCTCAACCAGACACTATCATCGTATTCACATCATCTCTCGTGGCCAGGTAGACGTCGTCATCGCCTCTTACGGCCACGGATACGTGATCGTCGTCTAGCGTCATGGGGGCAAAATTATGAACATCTCCCGCGGCTGTCTAAACACCGGTCTACCGCGGTTAAGGAAACGTGATTGTCGTCTTGCGCGATCGCAGCAAAATCATGAATATTTCATTAGATTTTACATGGTCCATAAAATTCTCGACTGTGGCAACAAAATAAAGACTAAATCCCAACTTTTCAAGACCATTTTGAAATTCAATACTAATTCCCGACTTTCCCGTTTTTCCCCACTACTAGTGTGACGGTACAATTTCGTCCTGAGACAAATTTGTACTGTCGGCCTCGGATAGCTAATCTAATTGAGTTTGTCCAGGGTTAGTAGTAATAATAATAGTATTTAGTTTTAAAATATTGGCTCAGATATGTTCGTTAAAGCATCAGCTTTCAGTAAATGACACATTCATCACTGCCGGGTTAGGCCTTAATTTAAACATATTAGTAATTTGGACTACTTGGCGTTAATTCCGTGAGTGAAACACTGGTCGTAATTAACTAAAATCTTAACTTCGAAAATAAAATAAACCTCTACTTAATGGATATACCGTGTTTCACTTTTGGAATTAAAACCAACTATACTTAAACTAAACTGAATCGCTTATACACGGGTCCGAGAGCTATTTCACTTCTCGGTCTAACCCTAGTATTCGTCGCTAATATACGCGGGTCCGAGAGCTATTCCGCTTCTCGGCCTATCGTCTCGTAATATACACGGGTCCGAGAGCTATTCCGCTTCTCGGCCTATCGTCTCGTAACATCCGCGGGTCCGAAAGCTATTTCGCTACTCAGCCTATCGTCTCGTAACATCCGCGGGTCCAAGAGCTATTCCGCTTCTCGGCCTATCGTCTCGTAATATCCGCGGGTTCGAGAGCTATTTCGCTATTCAGCCTATCGTCTCGTAACATCTGCGGGTCCGAGAGCTATTTCGCTACTCAGCCTATCGTCTCGTAATATCCGCGGGTCCGAGAGCTATTTCGCTACTTAGCCTAAGGGTTCGCGAGGTACTCTACTCCAATTACTAGGGAGAGATGAGGCTAGCTATTCGCCCAGCGCTCGAGTGCCTCTGTGCCCTGTCCTGCACCGTATTTATAGGGGTCGCGATGCTAGCGCAGTACGTGGCCGCTCGGAGAACTAATGACCTTGCGCGGGACATTTGAAATCGTCTGAACGCTCGCTTTCTGATCTCGTAATATTTTTACCATTACACTAGACACCCTGATTATCACAAAATGCCTTTGTTCAAATTGCAACTGCACATAGGCCCTAACTTAAGAATAATAAAAAAAATAAAAGCTTATAATTATTGCTCAGGTACAGCTTTGTGCGGCTATCTACAGTTCTCGAGTGTCAATGATATACTTTTCCCTCTTAGTTAACAAATAGCTATTTCAAATCAGTGGTTTTTTTACACATCAATTGATGACGGTAGACAGTAGTAAATCTGTTTTCCATAATGAGCAATAGTCACACCTTGGTTTTAAACCATCAGCATCAATCGAACTGGAAATAGTTAACTTAAAAGTAAATAATAATCATGTACCTATAAAAACAAAATGTCATACAATGACCTTTTCTATGGGCAGTTTGCTAATGTAGGATACATAAAAAGACATAAATAAGTAAAATATACTTCAGCCCCATCACGTGTGTCTCCCCGCATGACAATAAACATGTTTCTAGTAATATGAATAGTATGACTATGTCCCATAAGATCTAGATTGATTGGTGAATATGATTATACAGTTGTGAGATGAAATCAAATGGTACTGTGCTATAAACAAACATATTTCATGGGTAATTGAATCAATAGTTTTGGTATCTCAAACAGTATTGCAGCTAGATGTTGCCTAACAGAGAGTTAGGCCTATTAGTGCCTAACATGGTAATTAGCATAGGTAAGCTCTGCCTAACCATCTTTCATTGCTGACTCTGTTCATGTCAACCCCCCCCCCCTTTCATCCCTGAACAAAAATAGTAAATAAGTAAGGCAGCCTCATATTCTGGTTACAAAGAGCTCAAAAAAACATTTAATGTTAGGCGAAGTCAAATAAACTTTCTGATGGTGGGTTAGGCATTCAAAATTAAATTAATCTAAACAAAATTACCTGATATTTGTTTTTAAATATCCCTTTGATTACATGTTCAATTTTCAAGTATTTGTCTTTCTGAGGATAAATCTTCACGGTGCTTGGCAGCTCTGAGCTTGGAGACAGATTTGAAGAATCAATCGTTAGTTCAATTTTCACAGCTTCAAACTTCTCACCACTTCTTGATTGACAAGCACTATAAATAATTAAAATGATTATATTATTATCTTTGTTTTAACTTTTGATCAACGATCAAATCAAACCAAAAGATGGAGTATGCTTTTCCAACTAACATTCTAGCAAGTATGATCAGCATTCTTAGGCAGGGATACAAGCACTAGATGTTGATGAAAACGGCGCAAAAACTCAATGTTTTGCTTCCATACAACTTGGCAACTAGCCTACTTATATGGTTGAAACTTTGTATAAGTGAAGTCGATAAGTCTTGGACACTATTAGAGTTCTAATCAAAAGCTTAAAAAAAGACTAATATTTTCTATTTTGAATATTCTAATGAAGTTGATTATTTGATATCAGTTGAATATGACATGTCAAAGGTAGAGGTGTGCGAATAGTGATTTTTGGGTTCGAATCTAATCGAATACTTCATAATATTTTTGAATATCGAATATTACCAAGCGAATATTTATGTTATTATGATAGACTCCAAAGAATTTTCCAATCACAGTTTTGGAACCCTACTAAGGTTAATAATTCTGATTTTAACCAATGTAACATTTTAAAATAATCAATTTTTATTTGTCCTAACTTAACGCCCTAACCTATTTTATTTGTTCTTGGTACAAAATGAGTAGGCCTACAGTACAGGGCTTCCAGTATTTTTCTCATTTTATTTAATTGATATTACTATAAAAATGAATAATTTCCTACATTTATGGTTTTCTAACAACAATTATAGTATCACACATTATCAACACCTTTGGCTCCTAACATGATTATGTCAAGAAAAAAAAACAGTTAAGATAAAGGCTTAACCTATTTTACAACTACGATAGGTAATAGCATGTCATAGCCTTAATAAAATAGTTAAAAATTAGGTAGAACATTTTTAGGAATAAGGATGTTTGCAGCAACATTTTGACAAAATAATGTAACACAACTGGTAACTTTTTTCCAACCAACACAATAACGGGTTGTTTGTTTTAAACTTTTAAAAACATATAAATGCATTCAGTTAGGGGACTGCGGTGCACCGAGGTAGTACCTAATTACCTAACGTAGTCGGTTCCGGTACAGATTATAACAATTAATTACTTTCAATTCACTGTCGTTGGTTAGGAGCACATAAAAAGGTTTAAATCAGATTATTGTTTAGGATTTTTATAATTTATTACTAGAGTTGTGGGGCAATAAAAACCATTAGCAGCCCCAAAACCCAAAACAAAACCATTAATATTTTAGCGACATTGTTGTAGGCAAGTCAAGTACTTCCAAGAACTTGTCGAGTCAGTAGTTTTGCTCTATAAAGTTAAAAAGTTTTATCACTTTCATTCCTTTACGACTTCCATGATTTATTTAATTTAATGTTAAAAAAAAGTCAGAATAGAAATACTAGTAAGGCAAAACGGGATAGATAGAAGGATGGGATGGGTTGGACAATGACCTCGAAAGGAGCGGGCCACTGTGAATGGAGATGGCGAGGAGGGAGGGGAGGGTGCAACCTTGAAGCTATATCCCAGATAGCATGCACGCTTTCTGTAAACATGCGTTTGGTGTGTTTTTCGTTCGTTATTGAAAGTTTGCATTGGAAGTTTGGCGAAACCTTATTTTTGCTTCTCGTGAAAGTCTTCTGAAGCTTATTTGCTGTAAGTTTGCGGGAACGTTGCCTGTTGCCGCCTAACGCAACGACCAGTTGCGGGATAAAAGTGAAACGCTTTAAATAGTTAACGATAGCTCCGCACCTGTTCGTGTAGCGCTATGCGGCAACAGGCATCGTTCCATCATTTCCGCAAACCTGTGGCAAATAAGCTCCAGAAGACTTTCACTGGAAACAAAAACGTGTTTACACCAAACTTCCAATGCATATTTTCAATAACAAACGAAAAACCCACCCAACACATGGATGCCGACGGGGATTTTTCTTTTTTTTTTTACGGCTGCCTTTTGTGGAGAGACTAACCATCATTACTGACGCTCGACTTTATTAGGCGCAGGATAGGAACAACTTTGGAAATACTCATCGTTAGATGATTGTTTTAGTTTAGAAGTGAAAACATTATAAAAAAATAAAATAAACAAATACTGAATCATGCTTTGTATTTGGATCTTTACTATTTTACTTTCAAATTTATTGAACAAAGTAAGACAATAGTATTATATATACAGTAGACTTTAATTAACTTAACTGTAATTAATTTATATAATAAGTAATGGACGTATTTTTTTAGTTTTGCCACCGAAAAGTAAAGGAGAAATTACCGCTGCTTTTTTCAATAACTCTCTTAATTAATCCTTATATACAAGTCAATTGAATAGCCACTATTATTGTTACAAAGACTTTTCAAAATTGGGAGGATTTCGTGGTTAGCAGAGCACGATTAATTTCTCGGATTCATGGAAGCTGGGAGAAACCCTTAAGACATTTCCTGCCAATGCTCCTAAACGACATTCTAAGAATGGATTGTGTATTGAGGTCACAGAGGGAACAATGCGTGCTCGTCCTTGTAGAAAAGGGAAGTAGGCAACCTACCACAAAATCGCCAATGATTTCCTTATAATCACTTTCCTTATTCGTAACGTAACTTAAGATTATAAGAAAATATACTTCATTTGTGTTATCATTTCGATTATTTTTAATTATTTAAATATAATTTAAATAATAGAATACTGTTCAACCTTTCCTTACTATTAAAATTATGTAATTAAAATATGGTTCAAAATTTAGAAATTGTTCACCCCTAAATTTTCATCAGTATATTATTACCTGCTAATTTTTAGAAGCTAATAGAAAAATAATAGTGGTTTTTAATCATTCTGTAGGCCCATAATCTGACATGGAATTATTGAGCTATTTTTTACTTTCTCCCCCTATACCATATGGAGAAAGTATTGTTTTCGTCAAAATTTTTGAGTTTGAGTTTTGAGTGGATATATTTGTTTTGGGTCCCCCTGGATCCAAAAAAGTGGTTTTCAAAGTGATGTCTGTGTGTGTGTGTCTGTATTCACCGAATAGTGGCATCCTTCACAGGCACACGGCCGTACTGTGGCACCTTAAAAAATTGTGGCACCTTTTTCAGGGTGCAACAGCTAATTCGATCATTTTTTGGGTTTTCCAGCATTATTACGTCGTTTAAACATCACATGCCACAATTGAGTATTTTTGAACTCGTTGATGTGAGTTTAAGTAGCGCAGGTACACGCCGAATTGTGGAACACGAAACCGCCTCGCGCCGTCCGCTGGAACTATAACTTCCCTAGTGCTATGTTGCCAATTCTCGCGCCAGCCTACACTCTAAATAGTGGCACCATGCCGCAATTCAGCATATATCAACAGTGTGTGGACAGGATGCCACTTGAGTTGTAGCGCTTGAGCAGTGTGTAGAACAGTGCAACAAGCACCTAATAAACTAATAATACTGTACTGCCACGTACTATAAAACAATTTAAGTACTATAAATATAAATTTATTTAAGTACTTTTGCTCCGAGTGGTGAACAATGTTTTACATTACAAATAATTTGTGTAGTAAATAATTATTTAAATTGATTTTATGCCACCATTAAAACATTTATTTTGGTTTACAAACATAAATTGGTAACATAGTTATTTTGCATCAATTGAATTTTTACATTGAAACAATAACAATGTTTTAGGTTAGAACACTATAAGTTGTCCTATGCTGCAATTTTTTATCTTACAAACTATTTCGTGCTGATACATCTATTTTATTAACATTCTAGTCATGTTGACAAAATATGTTACAATTACATTTCTGAATCACTCAGTAAAGGTAGATTTCGATGCATCATTGCTGAAAGTTATGTTTTGCTTCCCACTCTCAGAGTATTCCAAAGACATCTAATGTTTCAATCCATGTTCAAATGTTATATGAGGTAAACATATAACCGAATCAATTAAAGGTCTCAAATTAAAATACATATTATTATCAACACGCATAAACTAGTTTAGATTATATATCATCTCACAATCATATTTGCAAAACCTACTGTGGTGTTTTAACCAGTCCCCACTAACAAAAGCATAAAATGGAAGGTCCTAAAGAGGTTAAACATTGAGTCATAACAAGAGTAGTTTGTGATACTGTAAATAATTTGATATTGTTTGATATTATACAATCGTTTTACAATTTTGTCAATCTATCTGTTACTTTAAATGCAAATGTATTTGTATTATTCAATGTTTTGTTTTGTAGAACCTTTAGTATTCTCAACTTTATTAATAATAAACCTATTTCAACATACAATATCAATTTTAGGAAATTCCTAGTATGGTTGGAAATATATTGGCATCCGTGAAGTTTGTGTAATGTTGTTTTAAAAACTTGATGGGTTATATTTAACTTCACTTATTATTTATTTAATATGTTTCTACTTCTTGAAATTCTCAGTTAACTGGGAGGCGGAGCAAACAGTTTGTTCTAAAATGAACTTGAAAATTCTAAACAATCTTTTTTCTGTTGGTTTACTTAAAGTCTATAATGTTCTACTATGAATGCAAATCTATAATATAGTATAAATTTCCAGTCCCACCCTCAAAAACTATAATATTTAACAGTTGAATTTTTATAACGCATCAACACATTAATTTTAATTGTCCACCAAACTGTATCTTGAATTTTTGAATTAGTAGTTGCAAGAGTACGCAAAACTACAGAGAGTCCTTGAAAATGCTTGTGCAATGATATAGTTTTAAATTATAAAAGAAACCCTTCACAAAATTGTATTAACAGGACCAGAGGACCAATATGCACATGGTATTTCATTTGTAGGAGGCAAAAAAATTCAAGTCATTAATTTTTTGATGTTCCACTTTCTTAGAAATAAGATGATATTGTACAATATATTCATTTTGCCCTTGAAGTTCTTCATCAATTTCTTCATCTCTCGCATCTCCTTAACAATAATTAACATCAGGTTGGTGTTGAACTCGCTGTATGTGAGACCATTCCACAGTGTGCGTGAAGACTGCTGATTGTAAGTCACAATATCCACAGTAGCTCCAGTAAGGTGTTGGAAGGTAATTATTTTAGAGGCAAAGTGTTCTGTAGAAACTTGGTCCGTGACACATCCCATGGCTGAGCAGATTATTTTCTGAAATCCTCTTAATTTGAAATCGCGAAATCGGCAATGAAATCTTCAAAAGCAGCATCATAGTTGGACATAGTTGGTTTTTTATTAAATTTGTCCTTGGTGACAAGTGCATACACTCCAGCTCCATCGTAAACCTGTTAATAGGCCACATGTTTTGTCACACAGTCGGATGATTTTGGCTTCCCAAACTGTTTTTTGAAGATGACTGCTACAACAGCTGTCATTTGCCTGTCTGCTCCAAAGTCAGCTGATATACAGTGGGCAAATGCAATGTTTTTTTGATTTTTGTATTTTTCAATCATATTGTTCATATTAGTTTCAACCACATTACATTGATTGGAGATTGTTTTACCTTGCTCTGTGGTTGCAAGTCTACACTATATAAAGTGATGGTAATACATTAAAAAATCTGCAATTAAATAATCTATAAGTACGATTGAGCTTTGCCTATATGTTTCCTGGTAAGTGTGTTTTAACTGTTTCTTATAGTAGATTTTAAAAACCGAATTATTCTTTTCTGCATTCTCACCCCGTAACAAAGCTCGGACAGAGCAACTTGTTTTCAAAAAGCAAATCCGCGGCTCGAAAAGACCAAAAATCCGCGGCTCGATAGCACCAAAAATGTGCGGTGTAATTATATTGTAGAGGAAAAAGTCGAGGTTTTGGTATAAAAGAGGTTTAATTTATGAGAGAAATAATGAGTATGTGATGTTTTGAGAGGTGATTCGCGATGAATGAATGCAACAATGAAAATTGACATATGGTAATGTGATGGGGATTACAGATGGATTGTTAAAGACAAAGACATATAAAATTAATCCAAAAAACTAAGGCAACTTGACTGAACACACACACACACTAGACTAGACACTATTCACCCCCGCCCGTGCCAGTCTCAGGGGTGGAGTGGAGATCACTTTTTATCAAAGTTAATCAGTTATAGTTGATCAAGTTCTGACCAAATTCTTCAATTTTGATCAATCCTGAACACTAGTTAGTTCGTCAACTAAGTCAACATTTGATCAAGAAATTATTCTTGTTATAATATGCTGACCAAACTTTATCAAATTTGGTCTACTTTGAACCAAAATGATCAAGTTTAGATGAATCTTGATCAAACATGTTCAAATGTCGTTAATGAGTGGAAGCCTCGATTGGCACCGATGATTAAATAAACGGTATCAGAATTCTGACACATACTTTCTCCCATAAGTTTGTCAACAACCTTTATCATGTGTAAGCGGTGAGAGTAAATATACGGAAATGGGATTTGTACAATTTTGTTCAGAATTTAAAGGACTATAAAATACTAAAGTTTTATCAAAATCGTTCGGGCCATTTTTGGGAAAATCCGATTTTTCCGTTATTTTATGGGGTTTTTATGGGAAAATAACATAATTTACAATAACTTTTGAACCATAATTTTTACAGAAATAGGATAGTTTTCCTACAACTTTTGTATTTACAACATTTTTCTAAAACCAATACTTAGGGAGATATAAAATTTAAACTTCGTTAAAAGCTTTGTTTCAGAGTGCAAAATTTTGTTTTTCTCTATGTATACTTTTAAATAGAAATAATACGCTAATATAGTTCAAACAAAAGTTTTAGTAAGTTTTTCAAGGTTTACAAATATATTATTGGTTTGCTATCTAGGTCACCGGGTGAAGAGCTGGGCGTCGGCAAAGAGAGCACGTGCGGGCTAGTTGAACACTTCTGCGCTGCGTCATCGCATCTAGCCCAGCCAATAAACGCACAAACTGCCTTTTTTCGTAGGTAAATAGTGGAAAGCTGAGTTTGTTATATGTAATGGAACCACTTAAGACGTGTTTTTTCAAAAAGTTCCCGATTTTCCCCCTTGAGCTTTTTCCCCGCAACCCCTTCCAAACCTGGAAATTACAGTCTTTACTGGATATAATTCAAATTCTACGCATGCCATCGTATTGAAATTTGATTTGTATTATTAATAATAAAAAAAAACTTTCAGGCTCAATTAGATCTCCATAGTTTACAACCCCCAAATAACATTCAACCTCCTAATTTAAAAAATATTTCAGCAAAACGACGTACAACATCTGTCATCACGTTTAAATATCGTTAAATATCATCGTTTAAATAAATACGTTATCTTGGAAGAATTAAAACCAGATAATAGCCTTATCTGAGCATAAATGAATCAGTTTGAAATTCTCTCTCTGAATATCGAGGGATACAAAAAATGTTCTTCTTTTACAAGAAACTGTTCCTTAGGAGGGGAAGTCTTAATACTAACATTGACTATTGGACTTGATTGTTGTATTAATAGTCAAAGATACTAGTTAATAAAGATAGTATAAACGTTAGAAGTAAAAATCTTAAAATTCCTGCTATTTAAAACCTTGTAATGGAAAAGGAGTTTGAATGTTGTTGATCTGAGATAAATGTTAGTAAATGAATATACAGGCCAACAACATTCAATGTACATGCACATCTTCATTAATCTTTCCAACTTTTGTTAAAGTTTTAGTATGACTAGGATAAATTTGAAAATCACATGTTACAACTCATTTTGTTTCAAGTGAAATTGTGTTAGTATCATCTTGTTTGTCAATTCATGTTCTTTTTGTTTAATGAATGTGCTTGTTTTTGTCCTTTGCATTTCTATTTAAGAAATCAATAAGTACCTATTGTAATACTCTTGAAATTATGTAAAAATGGTATTATTATTATTATCACAAACTAAATGAATTTTGTGAATACATTAAATGCATATTTTGGTCTGCAGCTCTTGAAAAATGCAAACTCGATAAATAAATAAGTATTTATAGCAAAGCCACACTTGCCTGTCCTTAGTAACTATCCTCATGACATTTTCCTCAGGAACAGTCATCAGTTCCCAACTCTCAGAGCTTCTTGGTTGATAATAAAATGATATACTTCTTGCTCCGAGATTGAAGTCCACCCAAAAGTCACTGTAATTTGGATCCTGAAAAAGATCATGCATTTTAACTGCGACTATAATTCTGTGCAAGGGAGATCTAAAGACAATGGGTAAATTGTGACCCAAAATTCTAGGGGGGAATAAACTAGTATTCACCTAAGTCAGGCTAGGCCTACCCCTAGAACCAGCCACACTCAAATTTCTTCCCCGGAGTGCTCAGAAGGAGCTGAGAAAAATCCAGGGGTCGATACGAAGTTGTCACGGCTTTGACTGATCAATTTATTGAAATTTAATCGAAGGCTCAAAGCTCTAGAAGCGCTCAGGAAATCCTGCAGACGCCCAGTAGGAGCTATTTCATCCTCACCTTCGTTAACGTGTTTTGGTGAATTTTGCCTGACTTTTACCCACCTTTAAATTTGGTAACTTACAAAATTAAGAGTTAAGACAAACCTATGATGTCATATATTGTTCTAGAACTATATTTTTATTCACGCCACACTCCCCTTATTTTTAATAATCAGGGTTTTACTGTAATCATACAATTAAAAAAATTAAACTGATGTTTTCTACTCTCTTATCAATAAGGTGAATAAAGTCAATACACTGAAATTTATAGCACAAGAAATTAATTTAGATTTTCCCTTTGTAACTGAACACTGGCTGAAAGATGATGAAATCAACATATGTTCAATTATTGAGCTTCATCATATCATTAGCTATTGCCGATCTTAAAGGATTAATGGGGACACAGCAGTTTTTTCTCGTTATGACTCATCATATTAATGGATTATCTCTTATATTAATACGTGAGGGCTGTTTTTTGTGAACACTACTCCTCTCTTATTTGTGGACCAATTTCTATGTTTAAGGTGTCAAAAGATTCGGCCCAATTTGTAGTTTTGCATTAAGGTTTTAGAATTTAAAAGTTCCTAACCTTAAGGGCGTGAGACCCTCTAAAAGGTCCGAATGGGCATACAGGAGGGACGATGGCTAAAGGTGTGGTGATGTCATATCTCTAGTGGCTAATGTCTTCTCTTGAGGCAAAACAATTACAGTAACAAGACGATGTGATTGCAGCGGCGTTCGTGACATAGTTGATAGCGTTTCGGACCGGTATTCAGGAGGTATCCAGTTCGAAACCAGCCGGGGACATTAACTTTTTGTCAAAGATTTTGCTTTGAATGCGACTACTTCTTAACTGTACATCTTTTGTTAGAATTTGGTGCATTTATAATTTTATTTATGAAGAGAACTTTTTTTTAAATAGTAAACCTTAATTGGATTTTTATCTTATATCTTTTTTAAATTATCAGCAAGTTTGGTTGGTTAGGTTAGGTTATGACAGTTTAATTTTATAGTACTAAATTTTAAAATTAATTTAAAATTAAAAGTTATAAGTAAACATTCATTTGATTTTTATCTTATATATTTTTTATATTATCAGCAAGTTTGGTTGGTTGGGTTAGGTTATGACAGTTTAATTTTATAGTTAAAAATTTTAAAATTAATTTTATAATTACAAATTTATTTTATAATTAAAAAAGTTAATTTTATAACTACAAATTATTAAATTAATTTAAATTTTTCCAACCCAGTGGTTCTAGCGGCGAACGCTGACACTACAAGATATGTTAGCCATAGTCCCTCCCGTGTGCCCCACCGCTAAAAAGTCAGGTCTTCCATAAGAATTACATTGAACAAATTTAAAAACAAAAAACAGCTATATGCCTACATACATAAAAAGAAACTCACCAGCTTCTTGGGAGTAAATATTAATATTTGTAATATTTAGGAGGTTATAGACCAATCCAAACAGTTAATTAGTATGTTGGAAGAACAGAAAATTTCTTGAGTTTAAAGAAGAAATATTGAAAACAGGAGGAGGTTAATAGGAAATTTTATATGTATGAGAAGACTATAAGAGAAGCCTGGTCTAACAGTAAGGAATCCAGATACACAATTACTTGGAGGGATGAATAATTTTTACCATAATTTTTATCTGCTATGCAGCTTATTTTGCAAGTAAAAAAATCATGAAGACTATACAAATCATGTTGTCACAGTGGTAAAGAAAACTTACCTAATGTCAGATCAAATGAATACATGCAAGAAATGTTTAAAACTGGTAACAACAGTTATAAGTCAGGAAACATTTGTATAAAACACAAAAAAATAAGGCCGGCTTCTAAAAAATTATAAAATATTTTTACAATAAGTTTTTATTATTTCAACACGTTATTATATAATAGAGTGAGTATTTCAATTAGGTACATAAGCTTTGAGTCTTTAAAACTTATCAAAATTGTAAATTATGACTGTTATTACTGCAGTTTTAAATAACGCCTATAAAATATAATAACAGTACTTGACAATTGCTCGATTTTGAGCATTCATAGAAGATGACTGTTGTTTTTCTAATAACTCCTGTATTTTACCGGTACTTGACAATTGCTCGATTTCGAGCAACAGGTACACTAGTATGAATAAATTACCTGTTGATTTAGATTGTGAAACAGTAAATGTTGAAATATTAAAAATAGAATTCATTGCTAGTGACCGTATATCGTAGTCCTAATAGAAATGTTTGTTTAGCATCTTAGAAAAGTTACTAAGCCAAAGCCAAATCAATCGGCAGAAAAAAACAGTCATTTGTATGTGGTGAGTTTAACATTAACTTTCTTAGTAATGACAGTGACTCTGTAAACCTTCTAATCTTTTTTAGTACTTGTATGGGTTGCATAGGACAGTTTATGAGCCTACTTGAGGGGATAATTATCTGGACAACACTTTCACCTCATTAGAAAATAATTATACAGTCTCGGTGGTTAATTAACATGTTAGTGATCACCTAGCTCAATTTGTTACCTATAAGTATAGTATGGCGAAGAAGGATTACTTTCCTATATACAGGGTGAGTTTCTACTGAGCGTGTTAACTTCGCCAGTAGGTTCTACTCACTAAAAGGAACAAAAAAGTTCCTATGAACCCATGTCCGATTCTCAAGAGTTTGGCTGTAATATGGAGTTTTGTGTTTTTCTTATTTTATTAGACTCTTCCCCACAATTTATGAAATAAAAACATAACCAATTACTCTAGAGAATTATAGTTAAAATCATTGGAAAGAGTATTAAATTTGCTATGAATCAAAGGTTTCATGTAACAATTATACCATTGTTTAGTCCGGTTTATATAAAAAATAAAGTAAAAACTACATTTAATTAATTATAATTACGTAAATTTGTATGACCCCATTTTGATACATAAACCTACAGCTATGCAATGTTGAAATGCATAGAAAACTTGGCCATTTAATAATCTTTCAAATGATATGCTATTCAATACTATTATTGATAGAAACCAATGAAAAATTACTAATAAACTACAATAAAACACGGTCAACAGATTTTGCTTTAACAGCGTTCGTACCAACGAATTAACAGATGTAATATTTTCTAAAATAGCTAATAGAATTCAATAATAATACAACTAGTTGAAATTAATTTTCATTTAATATAATTTGTAACAAATCTACTTCTTCATAAACTGTTGTAATTGAATATGTTTGAAATGCTATGTTGTAATTAAAATAAATCAAACAAAACGTGAAATAGTTTAATACAGTATTAATGGCCACAACCTACGATAAAACAGTTATCGTTTGATGTAAAGTTAATAAAACCCTAACAAAACTCCTATACCCTTATTAAATACTCCTAAAATAACAGTATTTAAAATCAAAATGTTTACTATGGTGTTATTATTAAAAGTATGCAAAAAAATTTAAAAAAAGTTACTATCCTAATAATTTATACAAATTAACATGTTTTATGTCTATTGTTTCATTAACAGTCTATGTACATTTTGTGATAAGGCTGGTAAACAAATTTACTTTAATAAATTTTCAAAATGTCCACCATTAGCTTGAATGCACGCTCAACCTCTCTTCCTTATCTCTCTCACACAAGCTCTCAAGTTTACTTCTTCCCGAAGATGATTGGCTGCTCTTACAATCCGCTGTCTTAACTCTTCGGCATCGTGTACAGGGGAACGGTAGACTTCTGCTTTGAGAAATCCCCAGACATAGAAATCTACAGGCGTAAGGTCCGGTGACCGCGGAGGCCAAGGAACCGTCCCTCCTCTTCCAATCCACGTGTCAAAGTTGTTTGTTATGTACTCTCGTACATTACGGCAGAAGTGTGGCGGAGCACCATCAGCTTGAAAAATCATTCGCTCGCGCAAATTAAGTGGCAAGTCTTCAAGAAGCTCTGGAAGGTCATCACGGAGGAATTGGAGGTACTGAGCGCCATTTAGGGACGGAGGAAGATCCAGGTATGGACCTACAAGATGGTTACCAATCAAACCAATCCACACATTTATTTTAAACCGGGACTGACTGCGTGATTCTCGAGCAAGATGTGGGTTTTCAATTGCATAAAAATGTTCATTGTGGTAGTTAAACACGCCATCTTTCGTGAAAGAGGACTCATCGGTCCACAAAATTCATTTCAAAAAATCACCATGGTCATTCTGCAGGATCCATCGACAAAACTGCAGTCTCTGAGGTGGGTCCCTTGGCTCTAGAGTTTGGACTCTGGTGAAATGGTATGGATGCAGTCCTTCTTTGCGCAAAAGATTTGACACAAAACTTTGACTAACTCTAAATTCACTGGCAACATTTCTTGTACTAGTCCTCGGATTTCTTTCCACACAGTCCAACACAGCCTCTTCTAAGCCAACATCCTGCACAAAATTGCCAACTGTTCGCTTTTTGCTAGGAAAGCTCCCATTTTCGGTCAAACATCGATGGACACGAATAAACGTGCTTGCATTAGGTAATCGTCTGTTAGGAAAACGTCTACTATACTCACGACGGCTTTCCGCCGCATTACCGGAACAGTAACCATATACAAAGTGTATATCAGCATACTCTTGATTGGTAAAAGGTTCCATATTGTAATGAATGTTGAAAAACTCTTACAGTAATTAACTTGAAAACACAAAATTAAAACAACAAATTACTCAACAATGTATGTTCAAACAGCTGAGTTATAGATGCTATAGATGACAAATCAATAACAGCTGACTTAAAGCAAGTACAAGGAAAAACTAATTATACAGCATTTAAGAATCAAACAAACTACATCTTTGAAAATGCAAAATATCTTTAGTTTATACATTTTATGAATTTAGTTAATTTTAATAAATATTTAAAAGATAAAATAAAGTACAACTTATTTCAATATAATACAACATGGAGTAATACAGTAATTATTATTAACAGTAAAAACTCTGCAAAAACAAAATCTGTAGACCGTGTTTTATTGTAGTTTATTAGTAATTTCTCATTGGTTTCTATCAATAATAGTATTGAATAGCATATCATTTGAAAGATTATTAAATGGCCAAGTTTTCTATGCATTTCAACATTGCATAGCTGAGTGCATAGGTTTATGTATCAAAATGGGGTCATACAAATTTACGTAATTAATTCATTAAATGTAGTTTTTACTTTATTTTTGATATAAACCGGACTAAACAATGGTATAATTGTTACATGAAACCTTTGATTCATAGCAAATTTAATTTTCCTTCCAATGATTTTAACTATAATTCTCTAGAGTAATTGGTTATGTTTTTATTACCTAAATTGTGGGGAAGAGTCTAATAAAATAAGAAAAACACAAAACTCCCTATTACAGCCAAACGCTTGAGAATCGGACATGGGTTCATAGGAACTTTTTTGTTCCTTTTAGTGAGTAGAACCTACTGGCGAAGTTAGCACGGTCAGTGGAAAACCCACCCTGTATAGGAGTAAAACAAGCATAAAATGATCTGAGGCTAGTGTAAGAGAGTTCAAATTTTATTCAAGGAAAGAAATTAGGAATCAAAATACAGTTAACTTGCAAAACTTTGAGTTACCTTTTAACCCACCTAGCATTAACTGATAGTGGAATTATCCGCCCTTGATCGTAAAATATTACAGTTTGTTTGAACCAATCTTGCTTATGAGAGGAGTTCGCTTTAACCGCCGCTTTCTAGGAATCTCGGCATTCCCACTCCGACGCTCGGCGATGGGAACCATACACTTATCTCCACAGGATGTGACTAATAAAAAGTTATTTTGTATCAATTCCAACAAATATTGCATATTGCCAGTTACTTTGTCATCATCATTTGTAGCACAAGCACGTTATCTGTGCGGCTAATTTATAAAATCCTAAAGTGCATTACGATTTTGATAACTGATTATCTTATTGCTAGAGTAAACACACAACACAGCTTGTAGGGAGGGCAGGAGAAGGGGTTAATGACTCCAAAGTCAAGATAGTTTTTGTGACTCGAGCATCCAGTGAGAGGCTATAAATAAAGATCCTGTCTCGTAACAAAATGGTTGCTTGAATCTTTTATTCTGATAAAAAGTTCTGTACTGTATTACGATAGATTTGGAAAGCATAAATTAATATTACAGTACTAAAGTTATTAAAATAAGAATTTTTATTGGCTCTTGCTTACTACTATAATTTATTCCACTGAAAGTATTTGACTTAACACTGGTTTTTGTTATTTATGACTTTTCTATCAACACGAAAAAAAGGAGATAAGTGTAGTAAATTCTATAAATAATGCAAGAATGCAAGTCCGATTTCAAAATAATGATAGTACAGGGTGTCCCACGTAAGGTGTCGCAAATTGATTGCGGAAAAACGGCTAAACATACAAGGATGAAATTAAATTATTTCCCGCTAAATCGACCCCAAGTAATAGCGTAAAAAATAGTTATAACTTTTTTCCAATACTCCTGTGCCAAAAACTGAGAGTCACTAGTTCGAATCTCAAGACTTTTCAAATGTAAACATATGTCAAGATATACATAATTTTAAAGGTATTTAATAGAAAAAACATTTTGGCAAAAACATAAATTAATTACCTTTTTACGATTCAAAATGACGGCAGTTTTTTTGTTTTTTTTTATCAAAATGTTTTTAATACTCTGGTTTCCTATACCAATGCACTTAGACCTTCTCTGGTGGAATCTTTTTACTTGTTTTGAAATTAGCTTTACTGTATTATACTACCGTTACTTGTATTATATCACAGTAAAGCTAATTTCATAACGAGTAAGGAAATTCAACCGGAGAAAGGCTAAGTGCATTGGTATAGGAAATACATAGTATTAAAAACATATTGATTTTTCCCAAAAAAAAACTGCTGCAATTTTGAAACAGAAAAAGATGCCTATTTAATTTCTGTTTTCGCCAAAATGTTTGTCTATTAGACACCTTTAAAATGATAATAATAGTGATAATAATAGGTATAATAGTGATGGTCGGATCCAGATATCTGACTACCGGATCTGCCGGATCCGAGCTAGAACCGGCACCGGATCGGATCCAAAAAATTCCGGATCTTGGGCTGGATCCGGTTTTGATGGATCCGATTTTTTCAAATTTTTCCCCGATTTTTTTCCTAACACAAAGCTATCTGTATCACTGTATGTACAACCCCGATTTGTTTACTAACATAAAGCTGTCTGTATCACTGTACAACCCCGATTTGTTTACTAACATAAAGCTGTCTGTATCCATGTAAGAGACCGATTTTCCCCCGATTTGTTTACTAACACAAAGCTGTCTGTATCACTGTACAACCCCAATTTTTTTTCCTACACAAAGCAGACCGTATCACTGTACAACCCCGATTTGTTTACTAACATAAAGCTGTCTGTATCCATGTAAGAGACCGATTTTCCCCCCGATTTTTTCCTGATTTTTTTACTAACACAAAGCTGTCTGTATCCATGTACAAGACCGTTTTTTCCCCGAGTGTTTGTCTCTTGATGCAAACAACTTATAAGGCAAGGCCATGTCTCAGTGTTTGTCTCTTGATGCAAATAACTTATATGGCAAGACCATGACTCAGTGTTTGTCTTTTGATGCAAATAACTTATATGGCAAGGCCATGTCTCAGTGTTTGTCTCGAGATGCAAATAACTTATATGGCAAGGCCATGTCTCAGTGTTTGTTTCTTGATGCAAATAACTTATATGGCAAAGACATGTCTCAGTGTTTGTCTCTTGGTGCAAATAACTTATATGGCAAGGCCATGTCTCAGGGTTCGTCTCTTGATGCAAATAACATATATGGCAAGGCCATGTCTCAGTGTTTGTCTCTTGATGCAAATAACTTATATGGCAAGGCCATGTCTCAGTGTTTGTCTCTTGATGCAAATAACATATATGGCAATGGCATGTATCTTTCCGAACCGAATCCACTCCGATTTTTCGGATATCTGCACACTTCTAGTTTTTAGTTTTGTACCTGGATGATAAGCTAACGGCCTATAATCTTGTCTCGAAAATATCCCGTTAGTATTTCAATCCCACCCGATGCTTCGTGATAAAAAATATCTTAGTTTTAGTAGCAGTTTTAGTTAGCAAACTTAGTGCATTTTATGATTTTGTTAGTGTCCCCAAAAAATGAGGGATTATGGGCTCAACTGGAGATTGCTCTATATATATAAGATATATTACCCTTAAAACATTACCAATTTAATTTTAAACAGTATGATTTAAATTGGCATTCTGTTAATTACGTTTTTTTAACCCGCCCTTATGACAGTGTGTATCAGGATCCGGATCCGAAGATCCAAAGATCCGGATCTGAATTTTTCAAGATCCGGATCCGGATCCGGTACCGACATTTCCTTGGATCCGCCCATCACTAATGTTTAACATTATATAAGTTAACAATTAAAAAATCCAAGATTTGAACTATTGACCCTCAGTTTTAGGCACACCATGTATTGGAAAAAAGTTAAAATATTTTTACGTTATTCCTTGGGGTCAATTTAGTGGGATATAACTTAATTTCATCCTTGTAGGTTAAGCCATTTTTGCCGTATCAATTTGAGACACCTTACGTGCGACATCCTGTATAATTCTAAATGAATAGCACTTCATTTTGTTATATTTTTAGGGATTGCCCGTTTTAACCGACCGGTCTCATTAACATTGGTTAAGCGGGAGCCTACAATTTAAAAGTAAACTTCGAGTTGTTGAGGTTAAATAACGGGAAAATTTGAGTTATAAAGGTTTGCGTATTACTCATATAAAACTGTTAAAATTAGACTTAATTGGGTGTAATATTTAAAACCTTTGATTTAAAGAGGCACTTATATGTACATGGTAAACATGGTAATTTATAGGGATTTCAAGGGGATCATAAACAAATCAAGATATCAAGGTTCGAGTTATTGAGGTCCTACTGTATATGCTTGAAAAATGTACCTCAAGTCATACAGTAACAAAGGCAACATTTAATTGCTACAAGTCCAAAGAAAACTTAATGTGTATTTGCTTAAATTTTACTTGGTTGACCGTTGTAAGTGTGATATACCATACCATGATTATTACTTTTCACAATTTACATTTTTGGACCTACTTACATTTGGCTTCCTTAGCAAATTATCATCAGCAGACACTATCATGCAAGGTACAGGGAATACTTTTTGCTGGTCTCCAAGATACCCATTGACTCTGTTTAGAAACTGTCGACAGTCCTAGAAAAAAACACCAATTTGATTATTAAATCAGCATACAGTAGTAATATCTCTGTACTAGCAAACCTGTAACAACTATATGAAATTTCAGCTTGAAAGATTCGATGTCTAATAGGTTTACTATGTTTAATGCCCACATTCCACATTTAGTCGCTACAAAAAAAAAAAAAAAAAAAAAAAAAAAATACTGTTGGAAAACGTTTTAATAATTAGATTTTTTATGTTTGAAGATCCATTATTGTACCGGTACCACAAATCTTCACATACCCAGCAGGTCTGAAAAAATTATAATTTTTACAATGGCTAAGTTTATAATAAATACCCCCGCCGCAGCAAACCTGCAGACTTAGCGAATTTCCATTTGCCTGATTGGATTTAAACTAAAATGTCTCTTTAAAAATATCACATTTATTCCCTATTTAAACAGAATTAGTTTAATGAGTTCTAGGTTTGCTGCAACAGGGAGGGTAAAAAAGTATTTTTATGTTAAATATTAAAAGGTACTGCGGTTTAGTAAGAAATTAATGTATTTTCCAAATTTGATCAAAATATGTTCATAACAAGCAAACTACAACAGTTGACTTATTCTCCATAAGAGTAACATGGGAATTTTAAAATTACAATTTTTTTGAATTTTCTCCGTAACAATTAGGCGCATAATAACGCTTCAATATACCAAATTATTTGTTTTTTAAGCTCTACAAAATGGTTTAAAAAGAAATTGTGAAATTTTGTGTTTTTAGGGTCAAAAATGGGGAAAAACCTATTTTTACCCCATAAAACCCCCCTTAAACCCCCGTTGTTCCCATAGTCCGATCATGCTGGTTCGCGAACTCATTCAAGTTTATCCCGCCTTACACCTTCAAACAAAATTTTATCAAAATCGGACAAAAATTACCCAAGTTATCGTGCGGATGGACATATATATATATATATATATATATATATATATATATATATATAGATATATAACAATTTGAACGAATGGTGTTTTTGGCCTCTGGGGACATCAAAATGAAAAAGTAAATCGGTCCCGGGCTTAGGTCTTACCATGAGACCTACGGTAATAGCTACTTCCCTATAGGGAAATTCGCTAAAATCATCAGATTTTGATAACATTTAGACACAAATAAATGTAAATAATAATAATCTACTGTCAGGGAAAAAATGCACACTCGAGTTTGAGCTTAAATATATCTGAGATGGATCATCTGATTTTATTGATAGTTTAAATACATTTCACGAGGTAACAATAAAAACTCAAGAAATAACAGTAATATATCAGATATATAATTCCAACAAAGATGTCACAGTGTTGTGCTCGCACCATCCCAGCTGGGAAATCTCGCACAAGACCAGGCAGCCTGTTGGAGAAAATTTTTGTTTGCAAACCAAGTCTGTTATAAAAACATCTTTGTTCGGATTATTAATCTGACCTGACATATCACTGTTATTTCTTGTGTCACGACAAACCGATGATATTTTGAACGAAGTTTGCAGCGTCTTATTAAACACCAATTCAATTTTAGCACAAGTTAAAAAAAAAATTAACAGAAGCATGAAATACAATTTAGAAACTATGTAAAAACAATAATACCCCCGCCGCAGCAAACCTGCAGACTAAGCAAATTTCCATTTGCCTGTTTGGATTTACACTAAAATGTCTCCTTAAAAATACAAATTGTATTCCCTATTTAAATCATTAGTTTAACGAGTACTTAGACTTGCTGCAACAGGGAGGGTAAAAAGGTGCTTTTTTGTAAAATGTTAATAGTTTAGTATGAAATGAAGGCATTTTCCAAATTTGATCAAAATATGATCATAAACAAGCAAAGTACAACAGTTTACTTATTCTCCATAAGAATAACATGGGAATTTTAAATTTACTGTTTTTTGGAATTTTTTCCATAACCATTAGGCGCATAATAACGCTTCAATACACTAAATTATTTGTTTTTTTAAGCTCCACAGAATGGTTTAGAAAGAAAATGCTAAATTTTAAGTTTTTAGGTTCAAAAATGGGAAAACCCAATTTTTGCCCCATAAACCCCTGTTCCCATAGTCCGATCATGCTGGTTCGCGAACTCGTTCGAATAAACCTAAGTTTACACGATTGCACCAAATTTCATCAAAATCGGATGATTTTTGCTCGAGTTATCGCGCTAACGGACAGATATATAAATCTATATTTATAAAAGAGGAAGTTTGTATAAATATATACCTATATTTGAACGTTATGGACTCCGAAACCACTAGACAGAATGTAATGAAACTTTCAGGCATTATTAAGCATTATTCAAGGATGGTTTGTGTGAAGTTTGGTGCAGATCCATCAAAAGGGCTCCGCACCAGTGGCTCTTAAGTTTCCCATGTTAACCTTATGAGTAATCATAATTAAATGAAATTAAAGAATCTTAACAGCTGTCTCAACTTAACAATTTGATTCTGTGATGATCAATATCATTAAAAGGTTAAAAAATGTACCAACAGGGTGCAGCACTATTAATTGTCTAAATTTATTACAACAGTTGCTAATTTCAACCAAGCAGCTGTGATACAAAATTAGAACTGTCAAAGTAGGATTTATTACAATTATGTTTATGTTTTGAATTTAATGAATAATTTTTGACTAGCGGCTAGTCCCTGCCCACCTAATCTGTTCGCGAGCGAAACTTCTACACTCCCTCCAGCCCAGCTGTTATTTGGAGGCTTCTGATTGGCTGAAGGAACACCATTACCACAACGATACGACATGACGCCATCGGCCCCGGTGGTATAGTGGATAAAGTGTCAGGCTGATGAACTGAAAGAGCCCGGTTCGAATCTCACCCGCGGCACAATTTTTTTTGTCTCTGATTTTTTCATTATCAGCAAGTTTGGTTAGGTTATGACAGTTTAATTTTATAATTAAAACATTATAAAATTGAATTTGAACCATTTATATTTTTATTTTATGAACAGAACCATTTTTTCGATTAAACCTTAATTCAATTTTTCATGATCAGCAAGTCTGGTTAGTTTGGTTAGGTTATGACAGTTTAATTTTATAATTAAAAAATTGAATTTGAGGCATTTATAATTTTATTTTATGAACAGAACTATTTTTTCGATTAATAAACCTTTATTGGATTTTTTTCATTATTAGCACATTTGGTTGGTTTGGTTAGGTTATGACTGTTTAATTTCTTAATAAAAAAAATTATAAAATTGAATTTGAGGCATTTATAATTTTATTTTTTGAACAAAACTAATTTTTCAATTAGTAAACCTTCATTATAGTCAATCAGAAGCCTCCAAATGACACTGTTGGCAAAACTAATTGGAATAAAAATTTAGCTGGAGGGAGGGTAGAAGTTTCGCTCCCGAACAGATTTGGTGGGCATGGTCTAGCCGCTAGTTAATTTTTGATAGTGTGTGAATAAGAAGTTTTATTTTTTAAGTGCATAATTCATCAACTTATTGACATTCTTTTCTCCAAAATGTTTATAAAAACCTATTGAATTTGTATGGCTAATTTTCCAAAAATGATGTCTGGGAAGCAAAAGTAGCCAGTTAATAATTTAAGTTAATATTTTTAGTGGATTAATAAAAGTTTATCTACATACAACAGGCCTATGGAATAATAATTATTCTCTTAAGCGTTCTCTTCCTGTTGCGAAGCACGGGTATGGTGGCTAGTATATATATATATATATATATATATGAATTTGAACGGATGGTGTTTTTGGTCTCTAGGGACCTCAAAACGAAAAAGTAAATCGGTCCCAGGTCCAGGTCTTGAGTACTACGATAATAGCTTATTCCCTATAGGCGAAATTCGCTAATATTCCCTATAGGGGATGTTATAAAGGAAGATTTATTTGTTTGAGTATTATTTTGGGCAAAGTAGCCATTCTTTATTTGTAAAAACCTGAAGGGAAAAATCCGTAATGTGTAAGACGTAGAAGACAATTGAGACCGAACCTACGCAGGACAAAGGTCAAGACTGGATACAATACGTCCAAGATAAGAGCGACCAGTCTTCAGCAGTCCACAGGTGAGGCACGATCGTAGCTCGTTCGTTTCTGCCCACATTTATTATACGTTTTGCCTTAAGCATAGTTTTACGATTAAATATACGTTTAACTAGATTATCAAGTTATAACAGTGGCGACGAGAGTATTTAAAGAACTCCGTGTGTGTTTTAAAGTGTATTTTTACTCGATTTATGAACTCTGAAAATTTGTGTTTTAGTTTGTCAAGAACCAAGAAGCCATTTTGATTTTGTTTCAAGTAGCTAGTAACTGTGACAAGGAACTGTTACAACATAACTGTTACTATTCTGTGTACCAAACACTAGTAACTGAAACTATTATTTTTTACAGAACCTAATATTTGAAATAATAGTGACTAAAGTAATGGAATTTCTAGAATAAATTGTTCATGAATCGTCTGTCTACTTCTACTTGTTTGTTGTTGTGGTGCAATTTGAGGTTATGCACGGAAGTAATGATTATAATGCCGGTTTGCAAGTGATGTATTCTGTTGGCAAAAAGGTTTTAACAGGTTTTTACTGTGAGTATTCCATTTAATTTGTAAATATGACTTCCAAGCAAATTGTAGGAAGGATTGCAGAATTTAATGAGGACTTAGAAAGTTTTCAAAACTACTCTGAGCGACTTGAACATTTTTTCAAGGTTAATTCTATTAAAGATGAAAATAAAATTTCATTTTTCATTTCTGTTATGGGCCCTGCCCTATACACTACTCTTAAGGATCTTATTCATCCTGTGCAGATTGGTGATGAAAAAACTACTTATGCTTTCACAATTGGGGCATTGAAGGATCATTTTGTTGGTAAAGTAAACACAACTTATGAACGTTTCATGTTCAACAAGGCTTCCCAAAAAGAGGGGGAGAGTATTTCAGAGTATTCAGTTAGGCTTAAAAAATTAGCTACCACTTGCAACTTTAAGGATTTTCTCGATGAAGCATTGAGGGATAGATTTTTATGTGGACTC